GTAAAAAAGTACTTTCATGTCAGGACTGAGGAAGTGACCCTGGGGGTTGCTGTAGATTAAACAGGAAATCACACTACAAATTGAACCCAAGACTTGAATTCCAGCTCACCACTTTAACCACAAGTGCATTCACTCTCTTTGCAGATGGGCCACTCACCTGGAAAAAGTATCTTTACTTGGTGGGAAAGCTGTGCCCACGTCATACTGGGACTTCAGTGGAACTTCCTTGTCCTTCAGCCCTTCCAGATAGAAGTGTGCTGCTGGGCAGTCACGATAGTTGGCAGTAGTGTGAGCCTTTAATCTCTGAGTTACTGTTGACTTCTGCTTTTGAGAATTGGTTTTTCCTAGCAAGTTGTTTGTGGTGGTTCATGTTTCTCCTTGTCTGAAACACACATTGCACGCAGTGTGGCTGTTTCAGGTGCAGCTGGAAGGTTTGTAGGAAAAAATAGCTCCAGCCTGGGAGAGCTGCAGTGTAAAAGTTCCTGCTGTAAGGGAACAGTATCAGCTCAATGGAATATTTATTGAGTTTGTAGACCAGTAATTTTCTGTACCGTTTTAAACTGGTGCCAGAAAGTATGGCCAGAGCAGTAACTTGCGTTAGTACTGCTAGAGGGGGAGTGTGTACTTCAGGAGAATTGGGAAACTTAGATTTTATTTTATGCAAGAACTGCATATGCTAAAATCATGCCATTGTGACTTTCTGCACTTCATGCCCTTTTTACCTCGTCATATTTTCTAGTAGGACTTTGGGAAAGGCTGCTTTCTGAAGTGACAGCTTTAGTTCAGAGTAACATGTGCAGCAACTGAGATCATCTGTTCCTGAAGCTGCCCCAACCTTTCAGTCTATATTCAGTAGCAAAGATTGAGTTTCTTGTGTACAGCAACGAGATTAAACTGCTCTTCAGCTCCATCTACAGGTTTATATTGTCCATAGGGTCCTGTCAACAGAAATTACACCGTGAAAAGATGGATGAATGGTAAAGAGGCCATGGTTGCCTTAAAGATGAAGGACCATCAAGAGTGGATTAGATCAAAACAGTGTGTGGTGGGCTGTTTCCAACAAGATCCCCTGAAGTCTAGCATCACCTCTCTTCTGGATGCTACAGGTGATGCTTTGTCAGCATGCAAGGCAGGCATGCTTGGCATTTGGCTTTCAGGTGTTTGAGTGTAGGTGACTGGACCAGTTTGTGAAACACTTGTTACTGAAACTGTGTCTGAAGTGAGAGCAGAAACTAAAATGCAAGAACTTGGTAATGTACTGGTATTGACTAAGGAGTAGTAGGTATTAATTGTGATTGTCGAACCTGCTTGCTTATTGTGCAGTCTCAGAAAAGGTTTGTGAAGCTTTTAGAAGAACTAACCGTGAGGGGCGGGGAGGGTGGGAGCGTAGAGAGCTGTGACTTTTAAATGTTTTTTATTTTATTTTTTTTTAATTTGACTCTGTTCAAGCCAATGCCTTATCGGAAATACTAGATTTTGCTGCTTCTTAAAATAGTGCCACTAGAGAGGTGTGGTTGAGGTATGGTCCTCAACCCACTGTAAGCAGAAGCTGCTGCATGTACTAGAAGCAAGAGGGCAGAGGGAAATCTAGCAGTGTGAACTTGGTCTGTGAAAGGTATATTTACAAGAAGAACTGAGAGCAGAAAAAGATTTTTAACACTAAACTTTTCACAGTTTATGCTAGTATATGCAGCATGTGGAAAAATAACTTTTAATGAGATTCACTTCCTAATATGATACTCAGTTACTATATAAAGTTTAGGAGAAATATGTTTCTTAATTCTTTTAAAACTGGCCCACTAGATTGTAAGCTCACAAGGACAGGTTTTTACAACACTTCACGCATCAGCTCTACTAGTGATGAGAATTTCATGTGCTACTGCAACAGAAGTGATGGAATTTTTCTTCCTAGAAAACATAAGAAGTTTTATGTGCGCAAGGTGCTTTCCCTCCCCCCTTCATTCTTGATTTCTTGCACAGTAACATGATAGACTTTGCCATTTATGGTCTTGACCACAATAATTACAGATTTTCCATAGTGGATGCGTCCATGAAATGCTCTGAGTTAGCTATACATGGAATTTTGAGACGCAGGAGACAGGGGGACATGACTGTGGTTATGTAGAAAATCTGTGGTGGAAGCAGATTACTTGTTTCAGGTTTCCAGAGATTGACTGATCAGGTGTTATCATTTTATACCCCTCGGTGCCTTAGCAATTTATTTTGTAATATGGTACACAGAACAGAGTGAATTGCTGTTACTGGTTTTGGGTGTTGAATGTGATATGAGTAATAGAGAAAAACCAAGGACTCTGTACCCTCATAGTAGATCTACTGTCTCTGATTTACATGCTCTGTTTCTCTTCTTTTTTTTTTTTTTCCCCCTGATGACATCAGAGCCTCTTTTCAAATGCAGATACTTAATAAAAAGGCAAATTATCCATATGGACACAGAATATATATGTGTCCAGAAAAATATTGCAGTAATAGAGTCTCTGTAGGAAATAGTATTAAAACCTGATTTTTTTAACGACTGTTTTACAACATCAGATTGATTATGGGCTAAATGAGTAACACATTTCAAGCTCTGAGGCATTATTAAGGTAAACACAAATGTTTTTTTTACTTAAGATAATTTAACTATCTCCAAGTAATGAGTAACAAGATGAAAGAAAAGTTTCAGAATGAAATTATGTGGACTTAGAAGAAATATTTTAAAGCATAATGTGCTTTTGTACCCAGTCTTAATAACTGTATGATCTTTTTTGACTAAAAAGTTTGTGTTGAAATTGTTGACTCTTGGGTAATTGAAGTGGACATTCGTTGTAATAAGATGTGTGGATATCTGAAACTTAGAGTTCATACTTAGATTTATAGGGTTCCTGTTGTTTGTTCTGTTGAGAAATACATTCTTTGTATCATGGAGGCAGATGTAATCATACTCAGCTTTTCCCTTTGAGCCAGTTGAATGCAGGCCGGTGTCCTGCATGGTGTAGACAGAGGGGGTTGTTGCAGAGCAGTTTAAACAGGTTTAAATTGTGGCTGTTCATTCTTAGTTTCCGCATGCCAGCACTCTGCCTGTGTGGTAAGCCAGTTTAGGAAACAGATCCAGGAAAGAAAAATGGGAGGAGGAAGGGAAAGGATTAGTTTTTTTGGGTGTCTCCTTCTGCCTGTGCTGGCCTGCCGCCTGGCTGCATGAGCACCCGTGCAAGCACAAAGGAGGGGCATTGATGTTTGGCTAGGAGTGGGCCGGGATCTTGGCAGCCTGTGTTCACGTTGGCCTAAGCATCCATCATTAATGTAACACCAGGATCTGGCTATGAAGTGTTGTGCAGCCTTGGTACTGTAATAGTGTGATTTTAGAGCTTTTGATTGGTGCAAAGCCTGAGCAAAACAAAGCTGTGGAAGTTAGAGATGAACAGAAATCAAAGTGGAAATACCCTGATTCTTTTCTTTTTTAGAACCAAGTGCTTTCTAATTTAATTTTAGGTAAGCTTGGTCTGTGTTACTGTCTTTACTGTCTGAACTGTTGAAAAGCATACACCAGTAGAAATCCTGTGTAGTGAAGGCAACGGAGGAGTTGGTTTTGGAACAGCATGCATGAATTTTAACAATTTGAGGACAATGAACCCTTGCAATTAGACTTGTTTACTCTGTTCCAAAATGTCTCTGAAGATGTAAGATTGTTACTAGCTGTAAGTAAAGCCACCTTTAGAATGTGATAGATGGTGTTATTGAGATCAGTTAGATTCCTTGAGGTTTTAAGCCTCTGAGATGTGAGCTGACAATTTAGCATTTCTTCAGAACTCTTGGACAAGTCTACATTGTCTTGATGTGACAAGTCATAATGCCAATGTTGAACGTGCTGGAGTAGCGGTTCTCTGCCATTGAGATGCACAAACATTAGAGAGGAGGTGCTGTGCAAGACCTAAGGTTTGTTTGGGTTTTTTTTCCAGATTGGGTTTGTGCCAGCTTTGCTGGTGACAGGGAGAAGGGGGCTGGTGGCAGATAGATAGTAGGAAGGGGCCAAGAAAAGAAAGCGATAGAGATGGGAGAAGACACAAGAAGGCAGAGATGAAGATGTGAAGAGAAGGACTTGATGGAAGGAGGACTCAACTGAGAAGTTTCCAAACCATCGATTTAGATTTTACGATACTGGTGATGTCACGAGGAAAATTTACAAGTGTCCTATTGTTTCACCAAATATAAATACGTTTATGTTTTTTACCTTCCACGCCTACAAGAAAAGTTACTTCATTTTTTATTGGACTACTAGGGAACATTATCATTCCAGTTAAAAGATCACTGAACGCAATGAAATCTTTTGAGCATTTTCCAGTGTACAGTATGTATAAAGATGCAGTTATTTTGCTGCATTTTGGGGCAGAAGATTATGGAAGCTAAACTTTCAGTAAAACTTCAGTTGTGCTTCTGTTTCAATTCTTAAATTTTCTACTGTCAAATTTTACTGAAATAAAACTTTACATATTGTAAGCTATAAGCTGGTATCATTTTGTTAGAATCGGGACAAATCACAAATCTACAGTTCAAGTGATGTGGATTTTATTACAGGGGATGAAAACACTCCACAGCACTACATTGTCTCATTTGGTAAAGTGGATGGCTTGGAAATTCTGTATTTCTGTCATTCTGTTGTTCTGGGCTCTGTTTGGACTGTGGAGTTAAGAGTTGGCTCTACCAATTTGTGGGTATGACCTTTCACTTGCTCATACGAAATACCCTGTGTGGCTTTTTAGAGCAGACTTCCAAAATGTAACTTCTGTGCTCCATGTATCAAGTTTCTAATACGTACATTAAAATAACATGCAAACATCTGAACTGTTGGGAATGTGAGGACGCAAGGTCTCTGTGGAGCAGTGCCTAGATGCTAGAGGAGATCTGAAACTGAGATTGTCTTCTCTAGTGACTCTTCATGGGGAAGATTTCCAGAGTAGCTCTACTCTTGTGAAATTTGGAAATCCTCAGGGTAAAGCTACCACATGGCATTTTTCAAAGTTGATGCTGTAGGTAGTGAAGTAACAGTTCTGAGAAGTAATGTAAGTATGTTTCCTGGGGTGGTGGTTGGGTAGAAATCCTCATGAGATGAGCCGTGCTGCCCATGGCTCAGAAGCAAAGGCATATCTGGGTGAAAGAATAAACGCATTTTTTGGCTCCTAGAAAGCAGTGCTGCAGTCTAAGGGATCTGGAAAGAAGGCACGGTGCTGAACGCAACAGTCTCAGAGCTGTCCTTCAGCTCGTAATGGACAACGATTAGAGAGGTGTTTGTATTTAGGAATAAAGTAGGTAAAAGGAGGTATCTGTGAATCAGTAATGCTTTTATAGAGTGTAAAAAGTTGGGGAGTTTGTGGGTTTGGCTTGGGGAGGCTACTTTAAAGCACCGATGTAGTTTCCCAAGTTGAAAGATGGGGAACAAAAAAGGAAGAAAGGTGCTATAATGTTAGAAAAGGGGATGGTAACAGGACTTAGATCCAACCTACTAGTCTCCAGGATGATGAACGAGGTTAAAAAAAAAGACATGGGGGACATTCAAAGGGGAATGGAATAATTGCCGCTTTTAACGTGGAAACTTACTCCCTTTTTTCTTAAAACTATGTTTTTACTTCACAGCAAGCAAGGGCAGAGCAGGAAGAGGAATTCATCAGTAATACTCTATTTAAGAAGATTCAAGCTCTGCAGAAAGAGAAAGAAACGCTTGCAGTAAACTATGAAAAGGAAGAGGAATTTCTCACTAATGAGCTCTCAAGAAAACTGATGCAGGTAATTGGTGCCTTTACTGATGTTTTCCCAGGAGCCTCAGGACTATCTGGTGGCTGAATTTTTTTGTTAGAGTGACTACAGTCATAGGGTTGTGGTCAGGTTGTAGCTGTTGTAAAGCTGACACTTGATAAAAGCAAAGTAGAAGTGATGTAGCCAGTTAAGTGTTTTTTTAATATGTTGCTTTAAAGGTTGCATCTGCAAACTCGTGGTGTTGACGACCTGAAAGTTTGCAAAGAAATGGATGTAGCTTAAAGTAAATATTAACTGTCTTACAAAAGAGAGATACTGATTAATTTAAAATGTTACTGAAACAGACACTTTTTTTCTGGAGTATTTGATATTTAACATGAGTCCTGAAATACTAAACTTTGTGTATGAGAATGTGCAGCAATGCTTGAAGGTGACTTCATTTGCGAGCTCATCCATACTTTTAACAAAACAGTTGCTTCTTTTGAATTAAAACATTCATCAGTTGGGTGCTAAAAGTAAAAAGTTGAAGATGCTCGGACAATTTATGGCAGAGAAACTTCTTTTCATTACCTAAGTTGCTAATTTTTTGAAAGTGGGTAAGTATTTGTTGAAGGTGTTGTACATGCTTGCCCTGTTCTGATAGATTTGCCTGAATACCTGCTTTTGGCCTCTGTAGGAGACAGGGTACTAAGTCAAGCGCATGTTTGGTGTGATCCACTATGGCTTTTATCGTGCCATTACTTATAAGTTTCGTTATGAAATACTAGTTGCTTTTAAAGAACCTAATTTGTATGTTGTAAGCATTTCCTATGTTCTGCAGCTGGAGACTTAAGGCGCGTTTAGCCTTGCAGTTAGGAAATGCACAGTTTGGAAACAACACTAGAGCTAACCCTGTCTGATGCTTTTGTTATTGAAAACTGGGACTTATATAACTTTGATGCCTATTACACGTAGTAAAGTATCAAGATAAAATATCCTCGACTTCGTATTACTATTTCCCCTTGCTGTTCTTGAGGACTGACAAGAATGTTTCTGAATAAGATATACATTTGCTTTCAAAGTAATACATTTTTATGAAAAGCAGAGAAGCAGATGGCAGTAAAATAGAGCTATTGAGTGTTCTTTTCTAATTGAAGAAAGATCTAGATATCACTATAGACAAAGCTTTCCACTAAAGTCCGTTCTAATAAAGGGAGAAATGGCATGTTGAGCAATGTTGTTTAATTGAAAAGGGGTATGTAGAAATTGGTTACAGAACCAGGTTACCTGGGACTGTAATACACATTGTGTAGAGCAAAGTAAAACTTACTTTAAAATCAAAAGCATGAATTGCACTTGATTTGGCTGAAGGGTTTTGAACTCATAATGACCTTGCACCCAAATTTGTACTGCAAAGTTCTGCAGCAACTAAATTGCTGTATCTAGTAATAGCTTAAAATATGCTTAGCCTTTTTCCTAGAATTCAGCTGAGATTGCTTTGAAGCTGTATCTTTAACAATTCTGTTAGTAACTGTTATTTGCATAATATTAGTAATATTATGCAAAATAGGTTCACACATTCTCACACAGAGAAATATAAGCTTCTTCTCAACCTAAAGCTACAATTAATTTATTCTTTTCTGCAATGGACTTTCAGAAAGTATCCTTTGACTGTTGCCCCAAATTAAGGAAAAAGGTAGCAATCTACTGTTCTCAAAATGGCCAAGGGGCTGCCGTGTTGTAATGTATGAAATAATGCAAGGGCATTATGCTGTTTATCCTTTGAAAACCCTTAAAGAGTGTAGCTTCATTCTCACTTGTGAAAGATTCAGAGAAGCACGCATATCTGAAACAGAATGCAGGCATAAAACTGGTGAACTTACTCTTGCCTTTTGTACAGCAACTAGAGAAAATCCTCAGTTTTGGATTCGATATCATCCTGTAAATATTATGCAGCTTTCAGTAGGCAAGCTGCAGATTGGTGCTGAAAAAAAGTAATTACATAGCCATAACTACAATAATATGGAGGTAAAATTCTGACCACCACCTGCTTTTATTAAACAATATCTCAGTCTACAGCCTTACACTTCATGTGGCCTTCCTGTAAGCCTCATTTAGCGTTTGATAAACATGGTCATGTCAACCAGAAGATTTTAAAACGTGACAATTATTAAATGCACCTGTGTTCCAAATTGTTAGTCCTAAAACTGTGTGTTTTCTCTCAGCATCATTAGGTAGCCATTTTTGGAAGTAAATTGTGAGTTTCTCCTCTATCTAAATGTTTAAACCCAGTTTACCTGAAAAAGAGAACAGCTGTCAACATCCTGTTGATGTTGGTAGCGGTTGTGCCTGTGAAGGGTGAGTTCTATGGAATGTCTTGCTTACAGGTTCACCTGTTAACTGCAGTGCACAAAGGAGATGGTGATAAGGGATACATCAAAGCTCTAGTGCAAAGCATATTTTAAGGTGTGTCAGAGGAATCTGCCTGGTCAGCAGGTTTTGTACTCCATACATCTGGGTGACTTTTCATACCTCTACAGTGGCTCAAGATTTGCAGTACAGGTGGAGGACTTGTTTGTTTGTTTTAAAGCAAACAGTTCAATATTAAAACTATTACTCTGTGTGTATGCTGAATGCAGATCTCATTTCATGGCTTGATTATGTCTTTGATGTGATAAACTTGCTGTGAAATGCAAAAAATGCATATTAATATATTCTCTTAAACACTAGTAGCATGCTCAGCAGCTTATAAATTATGCAAAGGAAATGGTCCCTTCCCCTAAAGAGCTTACCTGTAGAATTAGGAAACATTTGAATATTACAGTATGTTTCCACAAAAATAATTTTCTATCTCTGTAGTGATGATGGATTTAGTAAGTTGATATTAGAATATTGGTGAGTTGCAGGCAATTTTCTTAAGTAGCAAAGAACTGAAGATAATATTGACATTGATTTTTGTTTTCTGAAAGCTTATCTGCTGTTTGGAAGTTCTGATTCTTCAATCATGAATCCTGGAAATTATACTCATGTAGACTGCTAGATAAAAAATCTGAGAAGAGAAGCTTCTGATATTACAAATAAACTCATTTTGTAGAATAGAAGACATTATTAGCACACATCATGCGGTCAACTTAGTATTTATTACACTGTCTTTCCCAGTTCGGGATACTCTTTCTGTTACACAGGTCTAGTGTTAAATTCCCAACTAATATTTTTCAGACACAGAAAGTTGAGATAATTGCAACTTACTTTTTTGAAATTCCTGAGATGTGTGAATGCCAATACTTTCCATTGCCTACGAGAATGTAGCAATTCTGTCTTTATTAGAGTATGCAAGACTGATGAGGCAGTTATAAGACTAATAATGAACTGATAAATGCCCACTTCCATTTTCGGTATCTTTGCTCTGGAGAGGATTCTGCCTAAGTTAGATGCAGACTTTGGATGATGGTTTAATCAGAAATACAGTAGTTTCCAGTGGAAGTGTGAGCAGTAATTGGTTGCTCTACTGTCCTTTGCTATTTGGGGTTAAAATCTTAATCTCTGTGTTTATCAGGCACCATAGGTCTGACCTGGAACTAGACTTTCAAAATTCATGCTGTCAGACATTGTGCATCAAATGGCTTCCTGCTTTTTGTATGACTAAGTGGAAAAAAAATACATATGAATCTGTTTTGTCTCAGCCTTTGCCTTTTGTAACAGAGGGAGGGGTGTACTTCTGGTAAACTGCATATGATTTGTAGTCTCTTAATTTTTCAACTATTTACTAGTCTGTAGCTGTGTCAAAATTACTGCCATATTATTCAGTTGAAAGCTGCCTAGCAGAGAGACCTTTTTCCGTTGTGCCTGTGTGTTTTTTGCTTTGTCAAACCTTTGTTTGTCACAATTGTAGAGGCTTATGCATCGCATTCAGAGTTGCATCTGGAATGAGCTACCACAATGTTAAAACATTTTAAATGTGAAAGCTGTCTGCCAGAGCACGAGCTGCAGCACTCCTCGCTAACAGCCTAACGAGAATTTCCCAGTTCAGCATGACGTGCATTACTATTGTAAACCACAGAGTTACATCAGGCTTTCAATATTGTAAGAAATTAATTTTGAAACATCTCACTATATGCCAGACTGATTCTAAATATACACAGTAGCGCATAAAAGAAGGTGTTTTCACTGGAATGATCCTGTCTTCTTGATACCAGGCTTTCTGGTGCCATGCCATTGCTTGACAATACCTGTTTATAACTGTGTGGCATTAGCTTTTACTGCCTCTACAAGCCCAATAAATAAGTGTATGCTTTTACTAGATAAATTTCCTTTGTTTAGCATAATTTTTAGTTTTTTAGGCTGAATGTTGCAGGGATGAAGGAGTATATGCATCTCAACAGAGGTTTTGGAGTAAACAAAAGCTTTTCATCACATACGTTCCTGATAAAGTTCTTATAAGCCTTATATACATTCACTGTATTTTTCCATGTACTTACTCTAATTATATTTCTGTCTACCTGACTAAGTCTCTGGAAAGTTTGGAAGAATATTTTTATTGAGTGTTTGATCCCTAGTCATTATAGAATGGTAGTAATATTTTGCAGAGTATCACTAAAAGTGTTTTGATGCAGGATCTGTTCTTGCAGCTGTGGACATGTGAGTTACTGTTTTGAAATTTAAAATAGTAATTTAATAGAAATTTAAAATAGTAATCTTGAAAATTTATCTTTTGTGAAACGAGACTGCTCAAAAGAATAAATAATTTTTAATATCGTTTGAACTTACAAAGTCAATTATTCTTTAAAATGTGCAACAGTCCTTTTCAAAATCAAATACAGATTTTTTTCAATACCCTTATATTTTTGGAAGTGCAAATTGGTCCAAGTATCTGTCCTTGAAAGTAAAATGTTACAACATACCAAGATAATAGCATAACGTATAGTCAGGCGCATTAAGTAATTGGGAGGCTATACAGAACTGTTTCTTATGCAAGTCTGATTCTTGACAATTCTTTCAAAAATTATAAGTCTGTAAACATAAGCTATTACCCTTCCTGCTCTCCAAAATGTGATGTGTCAGCTCAAGGATGCAAATGTGATTCTGCGGAATAAACAGAGTCAGCTCATCTATCATTTATTTGATGAACATCTGGACATAAAGAGGAGGCAAACTGCTGATACAAATTTGTTAGTAAATAGGACTTTCAGGATGCAGCAAAGGAGGAATTGGACAACTTTTGAGGGCTGGAGTACTAAAAAGAGACTGTTCAGTACAATGTACAAGGTCATAGTCTGGGGAATAAATGAAGCTTATTTTTTTTAAGGGGGAACTTCATCCATTAGCTCCATTATTTCGTAAAAACACGTTTCACTGTCCCAGAATAAGCCAGTACAGTAAGGAAGTAAGGTAAATGTAGTTCTACATTGTTTCAGGAAACTTATTTCTGTAGAGAGGGAAGGATATTACTGTAGTTGTACAGGACTTACCTGAACTAATGCATGCGCTCCTGCCGTGAAGCTTTGTATTTGATAACCCAGTTCTCACTTTAGAGTATTAGCTGTCTCTCTTGCACCAAACCCATCTCTGATTTTATGTAGCTGAGAATTCCCCCGGTATCTCTCCTACAGTTTTCATACGCAATTCAAGGTCAATAAGACATTGTCATCAAGGTGACACGTTCTAACACAATTTTTCCTTCTCTTTAGCTGGCAGCCGTAGGTGTATCTGTAAACAGTTGTGACTGTAGTTTTGTATAATTAAAAACAGTTTGAAAATACTGTCTTACTTTACTAAGCAGAATAAACACTATCCACCGGTGTTTTACCAGTGAATATTTTCTCACTGTTAGCAGTTCTGTTTTCAGCGTTAGGGTTTCAGCATTAACTGGTTTTTGTTTGTTTTGGTTTGGTTTTGTGATTAAAGCCAATAAAAGGGAAAAATTATTTTACCCAATTATAAGTGACCGACACCATTAATATGTATTTTGGGGTGTGTTATTAGTATTTTTCCTCTCACTTTGAATAATGAAGCCGAAAGGGTGAAGGGGAGTAGCACAATGAAGTAGATTCATCAGAATGTCCGAGAGGGCTTTCGTGTTATAACCCCTTCTAGCACTCAAGAGGAAAGTGTGGGTTTCTTTTTATTCCCAGTCACTTTGCTTTCTGGTGTGTTTATGTTAAAATCAGAATAGAGGATATTCCTGTAATAGATCTCTCCTGGCTTCACTTAATAGCTTTCTGATCAGCTGGAATGGTCCGTTGGCTGCAGTATGTTCACACTCCCAAGGTAGGGTTTAGTAGATCCTACACACAGCAGCTACAGATCTGATCAGGAAGCCTCATCAGTGCCTGTGTGATGGAAATTCCAGCAAGCTTTAAAAGGAATGGTTTGACAAGCAAGCTTGTGCTGTTGCAGCTCAATTTGTCTTAAATAATACGGTAGCTGCATTTGCGTGAAGCACACAAGAGCGAGAAACAGTATTTGTTGTTAAGTTGGTTTGAGGTGCCTTCATACGACAGTATGATCTGCCTGACTCACTGGCCTGTCTGCAAACGCCAGTGGTCCCCAACCACACGCTTTCTGCTAGCAGCATCTGGCTTCAGGCTGAGTAAGAGATTCTGGCTATGTGCCTTTTTGCACAGTTTAATTTGCTAACTAAATATAAGCTGATTACAGCAACTGGCTTTGGTCTCAATTTTTAGTTAGGTGAAGAAAAAGCATCTAGCCTTTTTAACGAAGCACAATGAAGATTGATGAAAGTGCAGCAAGTACTTTGAGTTAGGTGGTAATCTGCGAGCTGTCTGCTCCTTGGGCTCTTTGGCTGTCTTCAGTTTTAAACTGTAGCTGCTGCGTAGGGGTAGGGAAGGAAAGGAGAGAGGCTTACAGAATTCTAAGACTAAATAATGTCCTTTTCATATTAAACCTGGTTTTTTTCCAACCAAGCTTAACTCCAATACTGAAGTAAGAAACTTCAAATTTTTGATTATCGTACAACACAAGCAGTGTGAATATAAATTTTTCTTCTAACGAAAATCTCACATAGCAGCCCTGTGTACTTCTCACACAAGAAATTAAATGGCTTTATTTCCAACTAGACAGTTTAACAAAATTTCCTAACCATTTGATCAAGAGCTGCCATGATAGTCTCAGTGATTATCATGTTGGAGTCTAAGTGGCTTCCTCAATATTTTTTTAGTTACTATTCTGGTGTTTATTTTAATTTGTGAAAAATAAAGTCTCAAAATTGATAAGCCCTGAAAACACAGTTAAACGGCAAACTTCTCCCGTATTGCTATTGCCAAGTAGTTACTGTCTACCTAGTGTTCTCTCCGCTCGAGCCTTTCTGCTCTGAACTCTGCCAGGCTGCACTTCACAGACCATGTTGTCTCTAAATAGCAGCAAAAGGAACTGAATTAATGAACTAGCAATTCTAGCTTGTTTTAAAATCAAAGTGTATTTCTTCACTGTGGATATCTGGCAACCTCAGCTTGTGTCCACGACTGTGAGGTATGTCTCCATTTCCTCAGATTTTCCTCACACATTTAAACACTATGATCTTATGTATTTTTATGTTATAGTCAGAAGAACTGGCGTAGAAAATAAGCAGGTGGGAAAAGGTGCCTGCAATTTTCCGTGGATGGCCAGAGCATGGTGTAATTACACCATTGTCTATTGGTGACATTTGCGTTTCCCTAAATCAAGTTCATGTGTTCGTACCATGATGCCAGTCACACTGTTTTATCCACAGGAAAACTTGGATCCCTATCTCAGAGGGATTCCATTGTGATTTTGACTTTAATGTTAAAAGTGACTCTACTCCAAGCCATAATTTATGTTAAAATGTGGGTTGGGTTTTTTTTGTTTCAACCTGCTTGAGAGCTTTAAGAGTAAAGTTTTTTTTTCATTGGAAATACTAACTGAAAAAAAAAATTTCCCCTTGAGTGTTAAGAAAATCTATAACATTGATTTGAAATAACTACTGGTTTTGTGTCATCAAAATCTTTTCATTCTTGATAGCATAGGAATAGAAATTAGATTTATTTTTTTTTACTATCTTGTTGCACAGCAATTTCAGTAGTATGACTTCAGTCATGATTTTAAGCTTTCAGCTGCCTGGAAGAAGTGCTAAGACCTGCATTTTATGCTTTGGGTGCTCTTGAGATGATGCATTTAGATTAAAATTAATGCTTTTGTGAATATTATGATAGATTTTTGACTTTTGAAATGTCTATAATTATTTTATATGCTATATATAATGTATCTATTTTGATTTGACTTTATTAAATATTTGGAAATGTAGTTTACTTCCATCTGCTTTGTAAATGCAACACAGTTTAAAATGTTGCTTTTTGAAGGGCTGTTGGGTGGTTTGTGCATTTTGAAGTCTTTTGAGAAGAATTATCAGAGAATTTAATAATAAATAAAGTAAGAATAAACATGTAAATAAACATATAAAAGGTGCATAATGTTTCATACTTATGTTTGTATGTTTAAAATACTTCCATGTCTCCTAAATTTTTAGCTGCAGCATGAGAAAGCTGAACTGGAGCAGCATTTAGAGCAGGAACAGGAATTTCAAGTGAACAAACTGATGAAGAAGATTAAAAAACTGGAAAATGATACAATTTCGAAGCAGCTCACCCTGGAGCAGGTAACTTCTTACTTTCAGAATTATATGACTGTAAACCAAGGGATTCTGAAAAAAAGATATTGTTTTGTATTAGATTTGACTTAAAAAAAATTAAGTATGTAAGAAACTGGGCAATAGCAAGAATATAGAAAAGTTCATTTGACTTTCAAAGCAATAAAACGTTAATGTGTTGTGAGAAATGATTTTTTTTTCATGGCTGTTTTAACTTACTGCAGGCCTTCATGTCTGCTGGACAGCTGTGAGTTATGCAAACACAATTTTTTTGTAAGTAATGCTTCTTGCTGTTCATCAGCTTCCACTCTCATGCTGCTAGTGAGAAAGACTGTCACTTCTGATAGTGGTTAAGCATGACAGTAAATGATAGGTATGTGGTCTAGTTGTGCTCTAGGTCACCTTTTTGTGGAGCTTGGATAGCATGGGACTCGAACTGAGAGATCTCAGCTGTGTGTATACTTAAAAAGATTTGAGATTCGACTATATCCAACTCCTTTTCTCCCTAAACAGTTACAAAGATTGCAGAGATAAAACATTGCTTGTTTTGGTCATGTTTCCACTGGAAGTTTAGACATTGGAACTGCTCTTATGTCTAATTTTAGGCATGTGCATCAAAGCATCTCAGTGGTGTTAGTAGGAGTCCTTTTGACTTAAAAGGCAAACTGATGAAATATGTGGGCTTGTTAAAGAACTTCAGTTTTTCAGTCTTGTGGAAGTCCATTAATTTGGGTGGTGTAAATGTAGTACATTATTTCTGTGAACGCTTTTGCTGTTCTAATCAGATGCGGAATTTTTTTGTTGCTGGTAGTCTGAATTTCTACCAGTTTTGTATGACTCTCCTATTTCTGTTGACATTGTGGATAAATTAATTAATGGCTATCTTAATGATGAAATAGGTTTTCTTGATATTTATGCTCTATATGGAGAGATCTATGGAACAAATTGAAAAATAGAAAGGTAGGAAGATGTAGTTGCCAGCAAATCCTTAACCAGCATGGAAATTAACATGAGCTTGAAATAACTCTCTTAGCCACAAGGTGGTGGTGGCAGCCACTTAATCAAAATGCAAAGTAAGTTTACATATTAAGCTGTTCTAGTCTTTGAAATGTTAGCATGAACCACAGCTGAAATCATGGCATTTATTTTTGTATCATTGTTCTGGGCAGACAGACTTGTGAAATCATAACATTTGAAACTTGTTTCTACATTTGAATATCAATAATAGATTGTTCAAAAAGTGTGGGTGCTCAAAGGTCTTTCTCTCAAATATCTGACCTTGAAAACTTACTTTGTTTATGAAGATGTTAAATTTGGCTGTCAGTCTTACTTAGAAATTCCATGTATATTTATATGTAATGCAATGTATACCTCTGTTTTCTTTTCCAGTAAGGTATGGTAAATCTCAAGTTGCTTTGAACTTCAGCATGCTTTCTTCTCTTACACAAGTTTTTTTTTTTTTTTTAAAAAGTTTATTGTGCTAATTAACTAGCTGAAGCAACAGCCTTTGGGGCATGTGCCGTACCTAGCAAGAAGCAACCAAAAGTTGTGAGCAGAGCAGCGTTGCCTTTATTGTACACATAGGGAATTGCGGAAGAGAGATTACTGTAATGCTTCAACATAACCTTTGGGAGACCTATTAAACAGGGCTTGGAAAGAGTACTTCAGCAATACTTTGAACATAATCTAGGGCTGCATTCCTAGATCTATCACTGTAATCAGTGAGCAGATAGTTACAACATATGGTCTCTAAACTCTTATTTTTGAAATACGGAACATGAATTATCTGTGGTTGTGTTCTTCCGCCTTTGCTTTCTCTCATCTGAGCTGCCGATGCCACAAGTGATCGGTAGGTAGCCTGTTTGTAGCAGTGATGGTTCCGTACAATGTTACCCCTAAATAAAAAAAAGAAGTTGGATCTTAGGGTTCAAATGTGACCTGACCTTATTTTCTTAAGTCACCTTGAAGTGGCAGAACAGTCTTCTCTGAATGCTAATGGTGAAGAAATTTGCAACGTATGACTATTTTATTAACTGAATGTCTCAGTTAAAATGAGTAATAATGTTCTGTGTTATAGTTCAGTGGTTTGATACGAAATAAATAGCTGTCAGTTTTGTCTTACAGAGGCCAAGTTTGTGTAGTCTTGCTGCTACTCTTTTTAATTCCACATAGTACAGTGAGAAATTAGAATTGATGCAGTTAGGAGATGAGAAATAGGAACTAAACTGCTAATAATAATCTCCTATGTCTGCTTCTTTGAAAGGAGAAGAGCGTGCAATGTATAAAATCTTCTGGAAAGATCAGCAAAGAACTAAAGCTACATTGGGAGGGGCAGATGAGAAGCAGAGGAGTGAAATTTGGGATAGTGGGCTTAGGCAGAGATCATAGTCAACTTTCATTGACTTGAAAGATCTCTGTTTCAGGAGGGAACAGTTGTGCTTGTTAGTAAGTTGGCAAGAAGACTGAAGAAGAGGTAAGCCAGGAATACACAGATAATGGATATTTTAGCTGCATATGAAGTAAAGTATATGTGTGAGAGACAGATGAGAAGAAGCACAACTGGATGGTGAGGAAGTTTAAAAGGCATTTTTCCCTTCCTCTGCAGGGAAGATTAAGGTCCAAAAAAGCAAGCAATATTTGCTCGTTTCCTTGTTGTGATGGTAAAAATTAAATGATGTTTGATTGGAATGTAACTTTGAACCCGTATAGAATGACACTAGTATTGACAGAGCTGCTAGTTTGGTCTTGAGATATAATCCCATCCTGCTTATTTTAGTTGAGAATATTATCACATTCCTAACAAATTAATTGACTAGAGACGGACTACATTTCAAAGTACACCTGAAACTGCCTAGTATAAAACAAATATACCTATTCTCTGAATTCACAGCTTCGGTCAGGATGCTACAGTCACTTCTCCTGTAGGTTCAATTCAAGGTGTTCATCCTCAAAGCTTTAATATCCCGACACTGGGAGGAACTGGGATAACACTCAAGATCAGAAAAGGAAGATAGTTCTTTCCAGTGTGTTTTCATATTGCTGGACATGTGGAGTTTTAGATCTGTTTCACAACCCAGTTTCTTTGGTGTTTCATCAGAGCATGACTGTCAGCCTTCAGGCACAACACAAGGCTCATTTGTATATTGTTGCCTATGATTTGACTTTGTAATTGTGCAGATTTCTAATTAATGGACTCCGCTGCCTTGGTGATGGTTGCTACAATACTAAACGTAATCTTAGGTTTTTCAAATCCAAGGTTATAAATAATTTACTCTGTCTTCAAATTCCAGTGTGCTCTTCTTCCTACTATTAAATGAAATAGATTTATTTTCATCAGTATGTTTTTATGGGTTGGTTTGGTGCTGTATCAATAACATAGTTGTAAAAAGACTATGTCAGCGCAGGTGAGTCTAAACCATGCTGCATTGAAATGATGCAAAAACCATTGCCACAGAAGTAGCGATCTGCAGTCAAACCTCTTTCATCATGTGTTTATATCGATAGCTATGCAGTGTAGTGAAGATCTGCATGTTGGTAACGTAGAAGCACGGTGTGTAGATTCCCAGAATGTTTTGTGTACTTTCTTCCCTCTGAACGCTGTCAGCCCCAAGCATTGGCCAAACTGGCTAATGAGCAGTGCCCTAAGACAAAGTGCCCTGTATCTCCCGGGGCTGAGCCCTTTGCCTTTGCACCACTCCAGCTGATGTGGGGAACCAAGTGTCGGTTGGGATCCAAATTCTCATCCCTCGTGTGAGGGTGAAGCATGTTGCTTCTGACTTGTCTTTTATTGAAATGTAAGTTCCCTCAACTGTTAATGTACATCTGGAAACTCAGACATGGAAAGATTTACTAAACTTTTTCTAATTGTGTTCCCTATTGCTCGTCAATATATGTCTGTTTTTACTTACAGTAACTAATTCCTCTCAGTTTTAAAGAATAAAATTGTACGTTCATTGAACTTGCACTATTACCTGAAGTACATAAGTTTAAATTTTGTTTGGGCACCTCAATGTGGTTAGCACAGAGCCTGTACAGATGTAGATGCTGTAATAGCACTTTTCCCAGTGATGCAGTAAATGTGCAAGGAAATCACTTAACTTGTTTTCAATCTTTCCATTTTGTAATGTAGGATTACTTGCCCATCAGGAAAGTGGTGAGTGTTAACTAAGGCTTGGCTGAAAGAAACACCTCCATGATATTTTCCACACAGAAAGCTGTTGATCTATTCCCATATGTTTCATTATCGCCAATTTCTGGAGTTCAGCCACCAGTGTGACTGAATAAGATCAGCTATGCCTCTTATTCTTCTAGTGTATTCTTATTAATATTTGCATTGTATTTGTACTAAAATACTAATAATAGATTTCATCATGTGTGGTTCTACACTTATATCTGCTTTTATTAGCTTATAGTCAAATTGAGAATGTTTGTTCACACAGTGAGTGAATGGGAATAATGTCAAGTTTAAATGCTTACTTTTATGAAGCCTTTGCTAAGACAGAAATACATTTGTTTCTGCTAGTAAAGGTTGGTACAGTAACAGTTAAGGCAGTGCACATAATTTTTTCTTTACTATTTTTGTTATGTCCCTCCTTTATCTAACACAAGGCAAACATGCCTTCTCTTTAATTTCTGGCTTACTTCACTGTGATTCTTCCACTAAAAAAGCCTAAAATTTTTCAAAAGAATAAATGTTGGTGTAGTGGACAGTAAATTCAGTTTGAACTTGAGACACATGGAATAGGAGATGTCTTTGAATAGGCTTGTCATATCATCAGTGACTGCATGTCCAGGTTTCAAGCTCCTTCTTGGTGGCCAGTGACAATGAGTTCTGTGAGAACTCCGAGTTCTGTGGTTAAGGAGATGACAACTGTGCAACTCCTGAATCTCTTGATTTTTCGCTGGCTCTGTGACTGTTGTGTTGTGCCTGATTTTTGTCTCTTTGCCTTCTCCTTGCTGTCGTAGAGCATCACGTAAAATGGTGGTATTACAGCAATGATCTTTCCTAATGACAGTTCCTTGCAAAAAATATATTTCCATTGTTTTCATTGGTTGTTTTTGTCTCCAGTTAAGACGTGAGAAGATTGACCTTGAAAATACTTTGGAACAAGAACAAGAAGCACTAGTGAACCGCCTCTGGAAGAGGATGGATAAGCTCGAAGCAGAAAAACGGTTTGTCTTGTTGCAGTGCGTTTGTTTCTGTGAGAAAGATATCATTTAAAAGATAATGTTCTGGATTTAATATGTTCATCTCTGTCCCATAAAAGTTGTTTAATCTATGAAAACCTGGAAGTTAAAGTAGTCGTAAAGCTCCTTGTTTATGTGATGCCACATCCTTGATTGCTTAAAGTAGATGAAACTTAATAGCGTAAGAAATGACCTGGGAAAGCTTGAAAGAATTTACTGGATTTTTTTTCAACTGCTGATAGACTCTTTAAAGCTTCTGGTCAGGGGTCAACTTTATATTCATGGCCCAGAGAAAATAACGTCGTATTTTATTATATTTGTTACATGAGAAGCTATTGGGTTTTCACTGTCTGCTCAAATAAGACTTCAGCTTTTTCTCAGTGGTGTGCATTCATGTCATTGAGACTTCCTGCTGCTTCTTCAATAGAATTTAAAGCCTTCTTTAAGCCAAACCATTTCTGGTTTAATTTATCTCTGACTGTGTGCCGCCTTACGAGGAGCTATGGTGGAGTCAGACCATGCTTTAGTACCACTTTGTATGGTACGTGTAAATATGAGGCATGAGTTTGCTTGAAAATGATTTTGTTGAATAAGTAGCGTTTGAGTTTAAAACTGAGGTAACTATATATTGTCCAGAATTAGTTTTTCCTGAACTGTATGCAGAAATATTTGGAAGTGTCAATGTCTTGAGTATTTTACAAAATCTATCTGTGCTTGGACAGCAAATTTTACCTTTTTTTGTTTTGAGTTAAAAAAGAAAGCATTGTAAATCCTCCCAGAATTCTCTCCTCAGAAACAATAGTTGAAATGAATCTTATATACCTGTCAGGATCCCTTGCAGTAGCTTTCTGGGGGATTTAAGGCGGTTTCTTTTCATTAGAATTGAAGTTAAACTTTGAACTATTTTTCATACAGAATTTTGCAGGAGAAATTAGACCAGCCAGTATCTGCTCCACCATCACCCAGAGACATATCAATGGAGATAGATTCTCCAGAAAATATGATGAGACATATCAGATTTTTAAAGAATGAAGTGGAGAGGTTAAAGAAACAACTGAGGGCTGCACAGTTACAGCGTGAGTAAACAACTTGTTTTAAATCTTTTTAAGTTTCTGTAATGTAAGAAGTTTATATATACTTTCATGAGTTTGAATTTAAGGTAGAAGTGGGAAAAAAATAGGGTGGGTTTGGATTAAAAAACTTTCATAATTGCAGTATTATTGCTCATTGATGTATTTTACTGCAGTTTGGGTTTTTTTAGCTTTATTAGAAGGGTGTCTGGAAGATCAACAAATACAAGAATAAATAGTCTTGTAGAAGTCCTTGTGTTTCTGTTGTGAGAAGTGTCACAGACCCTTGCAGGAAGTGGAAAGCCTGCTTTTTGCCCTGCCTTTCAAGACAAGAGGCTACAGCTCTGAGCACATGGTATCAGCTGGCAGGAAGCTGCGCCTTCCTGTGATCTTTGCAATGCCAATCCTTCATTCCTTCATGCTAAATTTAAAATTTCTATCTGAGTTTCATCAGTTCTGCCTAGTTCCTAGTCATTGCATTATATTTCAATTGATAGGTAAGTAGCTACCTAACCATAAAGACAGAAAAACTTGGGTGAGTGAGAAACAGGCAATATTCTCCCCCTCTAGTGTCCTGGTCTTGACAGGCTAACTGGAATATTTCAACCCCTATTCCCCTATTTTAGGCAAATAGCTTGCCAGAGGCAATGGCCTTCCTCAGAGGCAGAGATGATGGGAGAATGTTCTTTTGCAGAGGCCTTGTGTGCAAGTTCGTGGTATTAATAATTGGTGTCAGTTAAAAGAAGATAAGGACTGCTAGTCTTTGTACTTGCCAATTCAGCACTGCAGCCTTCACTTACTGAACTTCAGAACGAGAGCAAGGCCTTAGATTTAAAGTACTCTTTGTACAAATCTAGCCTAATTAATTTCATTTCAAGTATCTAGAATTTTTAAGTGGTTTCTTTTTGAATTACTGTGATTTAGAGTAAAAATTTAGAAGCATTTAAAGTCAAATTCTCATTGAAAATGAGATCTAAGTACTTTTTCTTTGTAAACAGAGTTGGAATATGAAATAGCAATATTGATAGAAATGATGGATGTGCTGGCCTGCAGATGACACTGAAATACAGTTTTCAGTTTGATCTTTGCAATATATGGTCATTTGAGAACCTCTAGTATTATTCATAAATACTTAATAAAACCTGCTTACTAAATTCTGATATTGGTATTACATTTTGTATTCCTGAAACACTTACTTCTAGTCTAGGAACTGTTTTGGCATAATAATAGTTTTAAATAAGTGATACTGTTATATTTAGAAGTGATATTTCCACAGAAGAGAGATAAATCACATGTTGTTAATAGTTTGGAAATAGTCTTCTAAAACAAGAATATTCTTTTGATTGAAGGGTGCTGCATAGAGAAGTGATCACAAAGCATCATGAATCATATTTTTTTTTAATGTCAGGGAATTAACTATAAACTTGATCAAACACTAGAAAACCTTGCAAAATACATTATGTGTGTCATAAGTCTTCGTCATGTCTTTCATTTTATTTAAATAATCTGTCAAAATGCTTTGTAGCTTTCCGTAATTTGATTTTATCACTTTAAATAGCCTGTGATCATTTAAGTTATGTTTGCTGAGCTTGTTTAGATTTGCAAGCTCAAATTGCCCTTTGATGTAATGAGTAAACTGCTTGTTGGCTTTTAATAATAGTACGTGTTCTGCTGGTCAAACTCTATGAAAAAAATATGTCATTGAAAGAATGCTATAGAATACGTATAAAGTAGCAATTTTATACAAGTTTTGCTTCATCAATTTTTTCTTTTTTTTAAAAAATTCATTTAAGTAAATACGTAAAAGTTGTTTTGCTTTTTACCTTTTATTTCCAGAATTGCTATCAACCAGTAATTTATTGTAGCAGCTACTGTTCTGAATTAGGCTTTGAACTAATGGCTTAGAGATGAAAATTTTGAGTTATCAATCCTGAGCATTTTCTACACCCTCATTCTTGAAGTACTTGAGTAAAATTAGGCACAACCTATTTGCCTGTCTGTGAAATTGAATTGAATTTTAATGAAATTTTAACAAAATTCTGAATTTCAGATTCAGAGAAGATGGCACAATACTTAGAAGAGGAGCGACATATGAGGGAAGAAAACTTGAGACTTCAAAGAAAATTGCAGAGGGAAATGGAACGTAGGGAAGCACTCTGCAGGCAACTGTCAGAAAGTGAATCTAGCTTAGAAATGGACGATGAAAGGTTTGTATTTTCTAGCCATCCAGATATGTTGGCATTGAGCTTATTAATCAATACTCATACTTCTTTTTTAATATTACAGAATAAGTAGTTATAGAAATAACCTGTATATGCTTTTAATATACATATCAAATTTCAGCATGGTCCAGGAATGTCTTCAGTAGAATTGTATCAAACTTGTGTAGAAATGCATTAGTTTTAATAGTGAGAAAGAAAATATTTGTATCTGAATTTTGCTTAGGGTGTTGATAATGTATACTGAAATAAATATAGCTGCGGAGCTGAGATTCAGGATAATTTGATCATAGTACCTTGGGTTTGCCCCTAACTTGGTAACCGCAAGGAGTTCTGTGAGATAGGAACAATGCCCTTACTTGGGACTGATTTGTCCTTTGCAGAAAGTAAAATGTGTTTGGCCAAATACAAAGGGATACTGTGTAAAGCCTTAGAGAGAGGAAGCATTTCCATAACTGTTGGATTGTTCTTGATGTCCAAAGCATAACATCCTTGGTTTTTTTCTCTCTCCACTGCAAGCTGCATGGCTTGCACTGACCTTACAGATAGTCTTGAGTTTTCCATGGTTTTATATGATGCCTTTTAGTGTTTTCTCACGTCATAGTCATATGACAGTGTTATATCTTCAAAAAGTTAAGTACACTTTGAATAAAACATTCTTATTTCTTATCAAATGCTCATTATTTTGTTGTACCGGTTTACGTTTTTTTGGATTTAAAAAAAATAAATAAAATTACACTGTACTGTGTATTCTTCTGATATCGAGATATTTCTTCTTGGGTCATAAGTATATTTGTTATAAGCCATAATCTACCAGAAACAAAGTACCAGATATTTTGTTTCAAGGAGCACCATTAAAGGTCAAGATGGTGTTTTCATTTTAATGAAATACTAGGCAACTGACATATATTGCGGTAGTATCTGGTATTAAGATGTAGTGAATGCTCTATAAATTATACTATTAGAAACACAGGATTCTCATGTTTCAATCTGGTTTTATTAGCCTAATCTTTTCTGCCAATATTTACATTGTAATGGAAATACAGTCAAAATCTGAATTTATGTGAATTACCAGTATTAATCAAAAAATGTAGAGTATCCTAATGATTTTTTTTGTCAAGCAGTTGTAGGTAGTGGTAATCAATAAAATGCAGGAAAATGTGATTCACTATTCTGTACTTCTAAGAAATTTCTTTGTAATGTTGATTTTTCTTGGTACTACAAAGTGTGACAGAATTGCTCCAAAACAGATATTTGCTGTGTAAGTAATACAAAGTAAAGGGAAGGAGGAAGCAGGTATTACAGTGGTTAGTCTTAGGAGAACTATGTTGACAAAATAATTGTGGAACTACATGCAGTGATGATTTTATAATGTAAATTTTTGTCAGTTTACATTGTCTTCCAAAATGATGGTGGTGATGGATCAAATATCCATTTTTTTCAGTTGCATTCTGTTGGCTGATGATACTTATTTTTCGTAGATGGGGGTAGATGAAGATGCTTCACTGAATACAAAATACACCGCTCTCCCAAAACTTCTTCCTCCTGACTAGCAATAGCTTTGTCTTCTCAATCCTCCATTCTATTCTCTGGAGTAGTAGGGAAATATCTGAAATCAGGAAGCATACTAACAGTGTGCTGCTATTTTATATCACCTGATCTAGGTCCTAGGATGACTTACAGAAAATTGTCTTTATGTAGAATAAAATACAATTAAATCAAAGACCACCGCCTTGCTGTAATACACGTACTGTCTGCATTGCAAGTTACTGTGTGTTGCAGAGGTAGCCTAGTGAGTTCAATTCACTAACCTTGGCACTGGTAGCTCTTTAGAAAACTTTTATTTAATTAAACTTTAATTTGCCAATTTGTTAATTTTCTGTTGTAAAAGTAGCTGCAATAGAGAACAATCTGATCTACCCATATTTAAACCAATTTTGGTATCACTACAGTGTAGTGTCTGTTTAGGTGTTGTGGCTTAGTAACTGAATATCCTGGTTAAAAATCAATAAGATGCAGTATTAAAACATGTTTCAAATAGTTTATGAGCTGGCTCACAGATCTCAAAGCAGTCATCATTGTGAGTTCCATCAAATAGGAATATTTTTAATGCTGTTCCATGTTGGGTTTTTTTCTGTGACTTGGAAATAAATGTAGCTACTAAGAATTTGAGAACACAGTGATAGAAGGGGAGACAAATAAGAGTCAAAGGGCTGTTTGGTAGCTAATTTTGCCTGCTGCTTTGCTGTGTCCTGTAAAGAAACACAGCTAAATGTAATAGTATAAACCCAGGTGCACTGATTTGCAACCATATGTGCAGGAGAACCTCTAATCTAGACAATGACTAAGAAAATCTAGGTGGAGAGCGTATAAGTAAGTCAACCTGAAAGCTGCCAGCCTAGTGCTGTGGAAGAAAGAACATAAAGTTATTTTTGAGATATAAACAGTAAATGGCAAATAGGAGCAATTGGTATGATTTTTATCTCCTTTTATATAGCACTTGATGGCTGTGAAGAAGCTTCACTGTATTCAATGCATGAAGTACAAATAAATATTGCTAAAATTATTACAGGTGGGGAAAAATGCCTTGCTGAGGTTCTAATCTGTTCAGTTTATTGCTGTGAAGTGTGGGAGGTGTCTTGCAACACAACCTAGAAGTATCTTTAGCAGGAGAAAGTCCTGGGTTCAAAATGTCTCTCTGTTCCAGTGGCAAAGACGCCATGAGCAAATAGCCTACACATTGAGACCAGAGGGATTCAAGTAGGAAACATGGCATGTTTTTTCACTGGGAGGCCCATCAGCTGTTGGAACAAAATATCAATACTTTAATGTGGTGGGGTTCCCCCCCGCTCTTTTTATGATTTCAGATGAGTGCTGAATGCCTTTTTGGAAGATACACTCCAGCCAGATAAGCTATTGAGTTCAATGTAGAAATGCTGTCTAAAGTGCGGGAATGTAGTATAGATTAGATTGGATGACATGATTTATACCTCTGGCCTTAATACGTACTGTTCTAATCATATGCAACTTGTACAGTTTTAACTGCTAATGACTAAGATAAGTCCAGCTATTTCCATTGAAAGTTAAACCAGTATCTGAGACTTCAGCAGTGACAAGAGTTCCTGTCATGACTTCCTAAAGGTGACTGGTCCTTCATTAATCTAATATGATTCTTATGGGAATTGAAAAAAAAAAAAACCAAACCCCACAGTGAAACATGTAAAACATGGCACATTTTAAAAGCTTTGATCTAATTATTCTTTACCTTTTTTTTGTTAGATATTTTAATGAGATGTCCGCACAAGGATTAAGACCTCGCACTGTGTCCAGTCCTATCCCTTATACACCCTCACCAAGTTCTAGCAGACCTATATCACCTGGTAAATATTTAACCCAGTTTCTAAAATTGTTGTATGCATCACATAGTAATGTGTACTATTAATATATTTAGGTCAGTAGCCTTTCTGGAGAAAAAGCCCTGCATCCTAAATGTAAGAATACTTTTGCCTTAGATGTCTTCTAGTGCAGCATGTTTTTGAATGGTTCTGTTATACACTGTGAACAGATATTAAAGGTCAGATAAGTAGCTATCACTTGAACTTCTATTTCTTTTTTGCTCTCTTTTTCTCTCTTACTGTCTCTTCTTTCTTTTTTTTTCTCTCTCTCTGTAGAAGTTGCCCAACAGGATGCATAGTTGGAACAGATTTCTAGAGTTCAGTGATGAACTAGTAATGAGAATGTATTGTGTTCTGAATCAGAACCTCTTATAGCAGTCAAATCTTGAATGTGTTGAAAAAAGTCAATTTCCATTTCTCCTTAGTGGAGAAATGGCTTTTCTACTTCTGCTATTTTCTATTGTAAAACAATAACTATAAAATTAAGAATTCCTGTCTCTGCTACTTTGTATAACAAAGGCAAACTAACTTTTCTGAGTTTTTAATTACTGAGTATATTTTTTTTAAGTCAAAGGAAAAGTATTTGTGTTACTAATGCATTTATTGACTGAAATTTAAAATCCCTTAAAATTCCACTTGGACATTCATTAAAAGTTGTTGGCCATGGATGTTACATAGCAATCACAAACTCACTTGTACATAATGAAGCGAATCCTGCATGCCCTGCTTTTCCAAGTTCACCTTTAGCAGCTGTCAGACAGAGTCCTACACTAAGGGCAAATGAGATGTGCTCTATATCAACACATTCTGCAAGATGGGATTGAGACATTTTATTACACACGTCTGCTAGAATGTATAAAATGTCTTTAAACTCTTTAATTTTCAAGATTGACTTCCGTTTTTTGGAAGGACTCAAAATGGTTTTCATCTAGGTATTGCAAAAGGAGTAAGCATGTGTGAAAACCAGCTATGGCCGTAAGCCATGTTACAGTGTTAGAGACGAGCATTAGGATAGTTTTTCAAGAGGCTTTTGGGCTTCGGAAATGAGCCAAGTTACCTGATTTTCAATGTTTTGCAAGGTGTGTTACCAAGAAAAGGATACATGTTTTCTTATCCTTTTCCTGTAACTAGGTGTACAGAAATATAGTCAACGCTAACAACTGTTCTGGAGTAACTACTGTGCACATTCATGGTTATACACATGCAGCCTTCATACTAATACAATATTCAACTGCACATTGTATCTGCCGTCCACACAGTGGTTGTAATTAAAAGTATCTGTAGGAAAAATTATCTGGTAACTTACAGGCTTGTGTCCTAGATTACCTGGAAATGCACCCAATTTAGATGCTGATGGGTCAATACAGGAGTACTCTGTGGGTTCCTACGTGGGGACTGAAGCACATTCCTTGTTCCGTTTGGGCTTTACTTCCCAATGGATAGTTGATACAAGAGTGCTGCGTTCTAGTGGGAATTATATCCCACAGCAGGCAGGGGATGTTGACACACAGTCTGAAGCAGAGTTACAAATAGCACAGCTGACACAATTGTTTCTAATAGAGTTCACAATTTTGGTGATGTTCGTGCAGTAAATGTTCCAGGCTAGCACTTCTGCACAGGCAGCTACATTACTCTCCTTCACATCTGATAAATTAATATCCACAGTTGGGAAGTTTCAGACTTGAGAAAAATAGAAGCAGCAGTTTGTTAGAGAACTAATGAGATCAATAGGGAATTTTGTACAGCTGTCTGGGATATACAAATGCAGTAATGGATGAAAACAAATAGTTTTTGAGAGCACTTTATATCTAAAATAGTACAGTAAGTGTCAAAACTATCAGTACAGAGTAATACAACAGTTACATTTTGCAATGTTGCAAAGGTGACTTAAAGCGTATTTTTTGCCTTTTATTGTTCTGGGCTCTTGTCTCTGACTTGCAACACATTGTCACCTACCTGAACGTTGACATGTTTCTGTCCTTGTGCTTACAAAAGCACTTAGCTGTAAAACATGCTATACAGACAATTAGATTGTGTAGTCACTCTGGTCTAAAGTAACAGTGATGCCATTGGAGTCACTTGTCATTTGCACCAGACATACATTTGGGATGTAGCAAACTTAGAATTAAAGAAGGCAAGAGGAGTATGTTTTCTTATATTACTTCATTAGTGATCTGAGGATTGAGTTTTGGGGGTTTTGTTTGTTTGTGGGGTTTTTTTTTTTCTTCCACAAGATCTTGTTTCATCAATTGTAGGCACAAACACAGATGTCTACAGTTAAAGACAAAGCTGGGTATTGGTGCATACTGTAGCTGCAGTGGCACTGTTTTGCACTGATTTAGTGGGGAAGAAGTGTGAAAACTGTTTTGAGAAATACTCAAAATGTTCAGAACACTTCAAGGTCTGAACTTCAAGCACTTAGCAGTTGCTGTTTCTGTTTACCTTGGTTAGTTATACAGGTACTCTGTTATATAGTCCTTACAGAAAGGATATGTTTAGATGGAAGAATTAGATATTTGCACTTCTGAATATTAGGCTTTCCTTAATGTGGATAAAACAAGTTGTAATTTTAAATGTTATTGGTAGCCTAGTCCAGCTAGCAGCTAATCCCAGAATGTTTTAACTTCACAACCCCAATGATCTTTGGGTCCCTGCCTATAAATGCTGAAGTCAAACAGGAAGAAGCCTGGATGCGAATCTGGTGTGCCTTGGAGTAGCCACCCACATCCAGTTTCTTTGTGGAAACTCATAGTCGCCCAGTGCTAGATGGCTTCTCCAGGCACAACCTCTCTGCTTCCTCAGACCGGATTTTGTTCAGAGAGTCATTTCCTCCGAGGAGAAAGGGAAGGCTGGGTGGAAATACTTGTGGACTAAAACTAAGCTGCCAGGGGAGCCTTACACCGTTTATGTTAAGTGAAAAGTTATTTTTAACATTGTGTAATGTGTGTTTTGAAACATGGTGACAGTTACCATTTCTTAACCTATCACTGATTCAGAACTAAAAAAAAAAATTTAAACCCTTACACTTTAGTTTGTAATATAAACGAGAATGTTGATGTTACCTTGTTTTAACAATTTTTAGGTCTGTCATATGCAAGTCACACAGTTGGTTTCACACCACCAACTTCACTGACTAGAGCTGGAATGTCTTACTACAATTCCCCAGGCCTTCATGTGCAACATATGGGAGCATCCCATGGTATTACAGTAAGTATTTAATTTAGTAAATACTTGCTACCAAAGTCAGTTTGGTTTTTAAAAGTTATGATTGCTTGTCCTTAAGCTTTTTTACAAAACATTTTTGTAAATGTTTGTTTTTGTCTCCTTACTCCAAGATATCTATTGCTGCTTTCTTCAACCCTGATTTTCCTGTTCACCCCTCAGAAACTGATTCTTTTTGGAGAACCTTATTTTCTGCAAAAGAATAGGATGTATTATCGTCTTAAGGACAGTAATAGGTATCATCTTATGGATCAGCAGGCAGGGTGTGAGAAGTGATGTTCTAAGCTACTAAGCCTATCCTGGGAAGTAAAAACATTGCTTTCATTTTTCTCCTAGTCTCCACCATCTGACGGATGAGTCATCTGAGGTTGCTCCAAGCTCAGGTTTTCTTCAGGATGACACACAATGCTACCATCATGTCACTGTAACAGGCAGTTAACTCTTATTTTCTATTCTCATTGGCAAAGAAGAAGTTAATATAAACATTTGTTAGGGCAATTTCTCATATCTTTCAGCTGGATTTATTTCCTTTTTACCTGCCATGTTTGACGCATTTCTACTTAATTGTGTTTCTTCTAAATATTTGTGGAGTTTAATGAGCAAACAGAGCCTAAATATTGACCATTTGGCAAAATACCCTATAGTCGTTGTATCAAGACCATTTTGCTTTTTCTCAACAGGTGTGGTAGTATGTAAATATCCTGCAAGGTTTTGCATATACTTGTCATTCTCAGATGTGAAAACATGTTTCCATAGAATTCTTAGTAGAATGCTAAAATATGGCTGCTTCTAAAATCGTTTAGGTGAGCGTGCAAAGGTTACTGTTAATTTCACTGAGGGAAGATAGATGGGAACACTACAATAATGGGTAGAACAGGAGGGAAGCTGGAGCTCAGCAGGAAGGTAGAATCCTGGCCCAGGTTCAGCCCACTGCTGTGTCACATGAGTTAGTCACAGGAAGATCTTTATGCTTCTGGAAAACCTGGAACCTAATTTTACAAACAAGTTTTTTCAAGCAACTTCAGTCTCTGTGAAATACTGCTGTTTCTGAAACTGTAAATTAATTGGTGTCACGCTTAGTCACTATGAAAAAGATCATCTTCAGGACAAAATTCTAATTGTGTTGAGAAAGGTGTTGATAAGAAGCTCTTGGCTTTGTCTTGATACTGAAACCAGGTCCCTTCATATTGTTAGATGTACTCAAATGCGATAAATGATTTTAAGTGTTTCAGAGATATCGGTCAGTTGTCAAGAATCCCTTGGCTTTTCACATAGACCATAAGTCTATTGTACATAGTTGTGCAGAAAAATAGATACAATATACATTATTTGACTAAACTGCAGTTTGATTCTTGGCTCTTCATTTTTGATATCCATTACAGAATAAAGTGACTTTACTTGTAGTATGCTTGGTATAGCACTGTAATCATGCTTCTCTCCAGAGATGATCACCTGTGGTTGATTATTAATTGTGGGTGGGTGGTTTGTCATGCCGTGAGGTTATTGATTAATGCTAACTGGATTGGTAAGTACTGAGCATTTTGGTTTCAAAAGTGCAGAAGTTAGTGTTGTGCAGTGTGATTTATGTTTCTAGATTGCTAACATTAGATTCCACCTCCTTACTGGTTTGTAAAGATAAAGTGGGTTTTAAATCTTTGTGTTTACACATGCAGGTTGTTGAAAATATGTGGTTTCTGTTGAGGGGAGGTCTCTAACAACTGTCTCACCCCTGCAGCTCAAAGGATTGTAATCTTTATTTTTGTTCTTCAAAGAATAACTTGTATTATGCTTTGGTCTTGCTCCAGTGTGCAGGCTAAGAGTCTTTCAGAAAGCTAGAGATTCTGGGCAGACTCTCTGGCATTCGAAACATTTCCACCCCCGCTCAGGTGCCACGTAATTGGACTTCAGACACCAGCAGCATAAAGTTAAAGGTTCATCAGTGCAACTGGGAGGTGCTGTCTCTGCTGCATCTCTCATTTCTTTTTAGGTTGCTGGTCATTGTAGGTAAACATATCTTCAGGACGTATGTCTTGTGTTCATTTCCTGCGAGCTGACAGGAAGGAATGCGTGTTCTGTTTGATCTCAAAAGTACTTCCCCTTTCCTTTGCTACTTCATTCAAAGTAACGTTTATTTTATGTAAAAGTTGTATTGTGATTCTTGCAATGTTTTGAAATGGATTCTTCCCACGTAATTGTTCAGATTTTTTTGGTGGTTTTTTTTTTTCTTCTTTTTCCTTTGCCAAGCTCAATAAATTGATTAGAGGACTTGCACCTAACATTGTTCAGGAGTGTGTTAAACATAATTTCAATATTTGTTCTGCAGAGGCCTTCACCACGAAGAAGTAACAGCCCCGACAAATTTAAACGTCCCACTCCTCCTCCTTCTCCAAACACGCAGACCCCAGTGCAGCCACCTCCGCCACCACCTCCACCACCAGTGCAACCTACGGTCCAATCCGCAGCATCGCAGTCAGCCACTTTTCAACATTCAGTGCATCCCTCCTCTCAGCCTTAGTGCATGTGCTCAGCAGTCTGTATGTCAGAAGTGGACTCATAACATGGAGCAGTTTACTAAAAGCCAAAGGCTTACTTGGCATATTTGAATTTGACTTATTTGCACTGAGGTTATATAGGCTTCACTGTTAATTGTGTTGTAAACGTTTGTATAAAATGCAGCCAGTGTTGTGGGTCTACAACACTAACTTAACAAAGTTTTCCATCAGTGTTTACTTGAACTACATGTATGTCCATTCTCTGGCTGGAACATTTGCTACTCTGTTTGGTAATACGGCATTATGTCGTTTTGCTTGGCTCCAAAGCTTCATTTTCCTGGCTTTTCGGTTTGTAAAATGAAAGGGATACCTTTTTATATTTTTTCATGACAATTTGCAGAAAATTAAAGGCATGATGGGCTATATGATAAAATCTGAAATATTACAGTGTTTACCAAGCTTAATGGAAAATCAGCACTACGTTTCAGTCATTTGAAATAACAGCTTCTAGTGCAAAAGTGAGTCAGACACCCTAATCAGTGCCCAAGACACATACTCTATTGTATTACGTAGTAAATAAGCTTAATTCAGCACACAGGACACATCCATACTTCTGTTTAAAAGCACCTCAAACGTATGGTACAGTTTGAATTTTACAGTGAGGGAACTGGCTTGTCGGAGACGGTGGAATGTACAATTCACGGACCTTAAGATTTGATGATTTCGCTTGACATTTACGTTAACCTGTAAGCTGCCCATACTGTGTGATCTGTCACAAGTAACTTCGGTAAGTGTGGTCCTGCCCACAGGTTACTGATAGCTGATTAAAGTGTGCTCTTTGGTTTTTTGCTGCAGAAGGCAATGTGATTGTAGAGAACAGCTGATGATAATTTTTTTTCTTGTTAAAATATATTAATTGTTATTCCCCTGAAGCAAAGTTTGAACAGGTATTCTAAATGTTCAAAAGTCTGTTAGAAAATAAGATATAAGATGAGCATATAGGAATATATGGGCGTAACAGCCTCAATGTTGTATTGCTTGGTAGAAACAGAGTACAAGAAAGTAGCACAACGTGGCACTAATGAATGCTTATTTAGCAGCCTAAGCCGGTACAATGTATAAAGAAATGTATTCTGAATACATTCTTTCCATTCATTTAGCACAAATAAATCGGTTTCACTTTGCAGTGGAACAAAGTGTCACTTCTTGATATTGACATCTTAGTTACATTTTTCCTGAGGTTCCTGTTGAGTACTGAGGTTTATATATTATTGATGATTTTAAGTGGTTTACCTCATATATATATGGATATGTGGGCCATGGAAAATGACAAGAGAATGTTTATTTTATGAGAATATGTATCTGGCTATAATCAGAGCAGAACATGAGTAATTTATCTTTTGTTTACAAAAGTTTGTTTGACATGCCTAATGCTTTATTAAGGACATTTTTTAAGAAGGAAGTACAGCATTCTGGTAGTATACTAACACTTGTACATATGGTTTCATGTTTGCCGCTCACCTATTCAGTAAGAATTGCAAACTGAAAATCTTTATAAAATTAGTGCTCTAAATCAAAATAGTAAGTTAAAATAATGTTGTAAAAGGTTCCGCTTAAGACAGAACTAGAATTTCTTCACTGTAGCTATGTAGTGTCAGCTCTGAGAGAATTTAGAGAAAATGCATATATAGTCTATTACACTTCTTAAACCAATACGGGATCAAGTGCATTATCAAATTACATTGGTTATGGTCATGACTCTCCAGTTAAGTGATTCTCAAGATTGTGGCAAACCTAAAATTTGACCAGTGCTTCCATCTGAAAATAATTGACTGTAGCAGATGCTCACCTTGCCGTAGGGGAGACTGAGTTGTGAGCATTGTAATTAAACAGAGCTGCTGAATCAGTGGTAGGATTGCATGTGAGAAAATTACAGGCAGTCAGAGGTGGGACTAAGGTCAAGATAGGATCGGTTTAGTTTGGTGCTTGTCCTTTTGTAAACATAAGACGAAGAAAAAAAAGATATTCTTTTATAAGTAGGATTCCAACTCAAGTATCCCACTATTTGAAAGGGTGCCCTCCTTTCTGAAGTGCTTTGAGTTTCTTGGCCATACAGCTCCACAGAGTGCGAGCTCATAGTGGTGGGTAGTATAAATGCAACGGGGAGAGGGGAGAGCCTTTGACAGTGGTGTGTTAAGATCTTAAAATGGAAAATTGCCTAGAATAATTTACGTTTGAAACATATTCCAAAACTGAATTTGTGTAACCCAAGTTCAGCTGCTATTATGAAGTGTCTTAGTGAACTCTCCTTACTATTCCAGTGGGACTGTTACCAGAGGAAAGTAAAGAACTGACAAATGTATACTAAATCTTGAAAGTGTAACAAGGCACTCAATTGGCCTTACCTAAGAACGTTGAACAAACATTTGCTTGCAATCAGAAGTGTTAAACTCTATTTGTAGACTTTTTGAATAAGATGAGAAATTGTGCACAACCATCTCCTAATAAATGTAAATGGATTTTCAGTTTTCCTTGTGAATTATAGTCATGAATTATGATTCCGCAGCTGTGGTTTTTATCAGATCTCCTATAGACTGGAGAAACTCGCTTGACAGTGAGGTCCACTTACTATGATGGCTTAAGTGCTTGGTTTCTTTATTTCAGAAGCACCTGGGTGGGTTTCTTTTGTCCTTTTCATTACTAATGCCTGTCAGTCGCACACTGCATCATCACTAGTTGCGTAAGGCTGCAGAAGCAATTTTTAGCAGTGATGAACATTTTGTGAGTGTACCCCTTTACAGCTAAAGGTTTAAAAAAACCTAAGAGAATATATCTTTTAGCTGTTTCAGCAGTGCTTTCCTCTCTGACAATCAAGCAGCTTTCTTTTTACTTTTTTTCTCAAGGGATCTGGCTTGGACACTGGAATGCAGCTGATACTCTGTAGAGTGTTAAGAGTTTATTTTATCCACGATTTGTTCCAGAGAAGTTCTTTGGAAGAAGAGGTGGGACTGTTTGGAAATAGTCTTCCAGCTAACAGCCAGATAAGATTGTTTTAATTACATGTACTCCTCTGAGAGCATATTCCCAAAGGCAGAAAGGACTATCAGAGTTTTTCAAGAAAATGCCACTGCTTTTCTATTGGTAGTCGCTGTAGTGGACCTGAACAGAACAGGATTCCTTTCCTGTTAAAATGTTTGCATTCAGGAATTCATCTGCCTGGGCGGAATCCCTGTGCACTGAACGAAAAATGCAGTCTTGGAAGCAAGAAAGCTTTCTGGGATCTGTGCAAGTTGCACTGCAGTCAGGACACAATAGGGTCCATATATTTTGTTAAATAAATGGAAGCTGATCACGGAGACAAATAAAAGAGCCTTGAATACTTTGTCAATCAAAGAATGCAGTCTCTCATCCTCAGTATTGATTATTGCTTGCTAAGAGGATGCATACAGGGACCTTGTTTAAGTCTTGTAGTGCTTTTTCTAATCCTAATGCTTAGTTTTACAAGCAGTACGAGTTCTAATACTCTTCAACTCTATTGATGTTTCCTTTTTGTTTCAGTCATGGCAGTCTATTTCTTTTTGATCCTTGGGAGTCTACAGAGCGTGGACTATGCAGAGCATATTTCTCCAGTTCAAGCCATCTCATAAGAAACCAGAAGGTTTATGAGTGTAAGCTATAAAATTATAATACATGCATATGTTACAACAACCTCGTTGAGGAAGGTCTGTCCTCTTGAAGAGAAAGAAAACAGAGCCCCTAATTACCAAATGGACTGTGTGCATAGAGACAATCTGGTTTCCTCAGATCCCTGAGGAGCTGAATTCCTCTCCCAGCCCTGTTTGGATTCAAAGTAGAGTTCTTAATCTTTTAAATTCTTATAATTTTTATTTTTTTTTTAATTCCACATCTCACTGTAATAAGTACTCACGATATCCTTCATGTTCCTTTTGGGTAATAACCACTAGTCCCAGTACAAACAGAGGTTAAGAGTCATTGCTACTTTGAGGACTGGAGGAAGTCATTGAATATGCCAGACTGTGGCCTTTACAATGCAGTTGTAGTTCAAGTAGGAGTGTGTGCTCATATCATGATTTTTTTTTTAAGCAGCTGCTGCTGTTTTTGCATTAGTAGTGTGTCCTGAAGAGGAGATAAAACTATGGAGTTTGGCACTGCATTAACAGACAGCTGCTACATTAGGGAGAATAATGCTTGTTCCTATTCAACTAGTTAGGCTCCAAAGAAAAGTACTACCTCATCTTTAGGTTGGGATGATGTGGCTGCAGGGTCAGGAGAAATGTCATAGCTGTGCTAGGTTTTGTTCTGCATGTATTACCTGGATAGGAGTCATTCCTCACTGGAACTGGGCTCTGGAGGTTATAAAGCTTTTGTAGAGGAGGAGTGGGGAGTTAGGACAGATGTTTGAAGGTTGAGTTTGAGAAAACTCTGTGTCCCTGTAGTAAATTGCTGCTCAGAGCACTCTTTGGCTAGGCCTGGGAATTGCCTCTACTAAAACTACAGGTTTTTTTCTGTGTGGTTTCCTTTCAAAAAGTGCTGTGTTGCAGTTCTTTAAGTTCCTGACATTGGTATCTAATGAAAAAAAAAGGCAATTCCCGTTTCCACAGAAATACTGGAAGTAGTCTTCTACGTGCAAAGGCGGGTTTTCTCACCATATGAATTAATACTGTGTCTATAAACGAAGGTGTTTTATTCTAGTGGTAAAACCTAAGCTGTCCAAGGCACTTTAGTTTGTGATTGCTGACTTTTGTTTTGGCAGGTGTTTCAGATGAAATCTAAGCCTCCTGTGGAGGAAGAAAAAAAAATCACCTGACAGATGTAGACTGTTCCTTTCCTGCAGAAATACAGCAATCTCCTCAAATGCAAGTAAAAAATGGAACAAGCATCCTCGAGCTTTTCTGAAGCTTATATTTAATTTCAGTAGTTTGGTGATTGCTCTTGTGTATTTAGAGTATCTATGAAGCCTCATTATAGGTTGGTTGGGTGTCTAGCTGGTTATTCCTATATGTTTTCCTGATCCTACTGAAGGAAGCCTGTTCAAATTCAGATCAGATTTGTAAATCCACTGGTTAACAACAATGGTCGAAGTGCAGATTTGTTGAGCATGAATCCAAGTGATGACTTCAGAAGCATTACATTGTGTTGGTGTGAGTCGGAGCTTATCGTTGAAAGAACCTCAGATACAAAGAAGGTTTTTTTTTTTTAGCAGGTTTCATTTTATTCCTGTATTAGCTGTATTATTGCTTTGTTGTATATCTCAAGGTGTTTACATATATTTGTAATTGTTACGATGTGTCTGTAATCAAGCTCATCTGTGCCTTCATGCAGACTTCAAATAAACACTTGATTTTTTTTGTATTTACTTGTATGGAAGACTATGAGGTGGATGTATATTTCCTTCTATCTGTCAGCCTGTCATCACTGGGAAAAAGAGGAGGAAAATGACAACTAGGAATCGGAGAAAGATATGCGTTTGTCTTTATTTTTGCTGTCTTTGATTCTAGTTGGGCCTTTTCTGGCATTTTCACTTAAATGGCTGAGTGGGGAATCTGGTGTTATTCAATTTGCATAATAAAGTTTGCATAGGAGATGGTCCTCACTTTGGATTTGGTGAATATTCAAAGTATAATCATGCATGCTTGACTCCATCAGTTTTACTTCTGTGTTGGAAGAATGTAGCTATATTTCTTGAGCTATTATTGTGGGAAAATTCGAGAGTATCTTTCTCCCCCTGAATTAAACATGTATGTTTAACCTTTTACGGATGCCTTCCAGTGAGAGTTTGGGCTTTTTTTTGCCACAGCAAGAATTGCAGTATCTTTTGGTCTTAGGCCTGCTTACCTTGAGGGTACTTTTGGATGACTGAGGGGTAGGAGAAGAAGAGTTTCATCTTTTTTCCAGTTTTTCTAAGCTCATAGGGACAGAGGTGTGTATTTGTACAAAGTTACAGGAAAACTCATCTTACGTGTTTTGAGTCAAAAGCAGTATACAGCAGTACAAGTGCTTTTCTAATCTGACACTAAGTATGAGAGGAAGAAAAGGGAAATAGAATGTTTCCTTGTCTGTATTAAGGGATGTGCTGCATATTTTGTAGTTCAGAAAAGTGTGCTTTTGCTATTTGTAGTAGTAAAGGTTATGATACCTGGTGGTCTGCTTCAGCTTTTCTTGATTTTTCTTGTGGACAAACCCAATTGCAGTTTAGTAGTTCTACTATTGGTGGCTTCAGTCATTTTCTAATGGAGATTTGTCTTAAGAATCCTCCATGACTTCTACTATTTTGTCATCTTATTAAAACAATCCATTATTATATTTAATAATCAATATTAAAGCACTAACTAATTTGAATTTATTGATATCTTTGTTAGTAGTAGTGAGTGCTTTCTTGGTACTGGGACATCACATTAACTATCTTTGGAGAGAAACAGAGAGGAGAAAAGCATGCATGGTGTACTATAACTGCAGTGTTATAGTTGAATTTGTAAACTTTTTATTTACAATTGAATTGTAAAGTTTGGATGCCTTAAGACAATGGTATGCATTTCTAAAAATTCCAGGTGTACATTTTTGTGTCGTCCCTTGTGAAATCTCTGGTTTTGTCACCTTTTTATTGTATGTATTCATTAGCACAGAACTCACCTGTATGTCATATTCAATAGCTTTTGTAAGTGGTATTTGCTGTACCTGGCTGTATTGCCAAGTTTCTGGCCTTAGATCTTAAAGTCTCAGTAGCTCATACCTATGCTTATCCTGTATTCAGTGTCTGAGTCTTCCTAAACTCACTGGTTGAATCTGCTTGTCTCTGCCTTGTCATTCACCTGCCACTCAGGCATATTTCTGTGACCACGTGCTCTGCTCTAGTCAGCACAGCCCTCTGCATGCAATATAAAGCATGCTGTTCCATTTTGACCAGTAAAATCCCTGTATTACGATGGCTGTGAGTTCTTGGGCACCAGGCCATGGAAGTACTGAAGTGAATGGTAATCTAGCTGATCCATGTTACTCTCTGTTCCTAGAACATGTGCAGTATTTCTTAAAATGCCTTTATTCTCCCCTCTCAACTGCTGCAAATGCTGAGCAATCAGTAGTTCTGCCTGTGTCCTCGTGAGTACCCTGCCTGACACTGACACAGCTGGTGGCTCTGTGAACTGGATGGATGAGCTGTGTTGGTGCTGTCTTCACGCATGTTGTTTGTTTTCTCTCTGGCATTTGTCTGAACAGAAGTGAGTTGCTTGAATACTTTCAGAAGACCAGATGAAAAGAGAAAGATGCACATGACTGGTTTCATTTCAGGTTGCCTTGTCCAGGTGATCTCCCCTTTAGATGGTTCTTCTGTATTTATTCTGGTGCTTGTACCCCTTTGTAAAGGAAAGCAAGTTCCTAGCATTGCAGGAGTTAACTTAGAAATTCTAGTAAACTGCTGAGAGCAGGAGAAAGAATGATGCATTGCAAAGCAAGCAATTTTAATGAGCCTAATCCTTCCTGTATGTAAAGATGCTGGCTTGGATATCAGTCT